GTGATTCACAGACACAGACCTTCCAGGCCATTTCTCACTAAAATATGCTTTTCTAGACACCTTATTCAGGCTGCTCTTGTCCACTCGCCTCTCGGTGGCTATGCATTGAAAGGAGGTGGTCAGCACTTCTTGTGGTGCAGACTTTGGACCTCCAAGGACTCCCTGAACTGTGATCCTGTTGTGTCGAGCAGGGTACCACTTACCTGGGGGGACAGGCAGAGACTTTGCAGGACACCAGCCCTGTGATGGGTCGGGTCTTGGGACTGCAGAAGGATGTGTTAACTTGAAACTTCAGGTCTCTGTAGCAGCCTTCCTTGGTGACCATCTGTCCTGTGGGAAGGAAGAGATGGACATTACAGACTTGCCATTGTGCTCTGTATCAGAGGAAGAGCTGGCATACCTTCCTGAAAACCTTGATTACACTTTTATGCCTGTGTGTTAAGGTCCAAAGGCCAATTCTGAATACTCCATTTGCTGACCTGTCTTAATGACTTTTAACTGGTGGATTTCAACAGTTCTAGGATGTACACAGCTCCTCCCATATTTTAACACCTTTAAAATTAATACGTTTCTTGTGTTTAATGCTGTAATGTGTTTGATAGAATATAGCAGTTTTTTTTTTTAAAAACCATAGCTGGGAATACTAGCATTTATCAAAAGAAATGCCAAGATTATATAAACTGTCTCAGATTTCCATTTGAGAGATGACAAAGGGAGACAACTAGCAATAAGTCAGCAGGAAGCACGCACAACAAAATGGTTAGCAGTTTATCACCAGAGAATCGGGGGCTAAGTGTTGCCTGGGTCACAATCTGGATGCTTGACTTGATGATGGTGACTCAGAAGCTGCGTGGAATGAGGCCGGTGGGAATGAATGTCGGTCTGATTGCTCTCCTCCATGTACATCCCATGAGCTATTTAAAGCTTTATGAATGTCCCTTAATTTGTTTAGTGTTCCAATTAATGAAATTGTCTTGAAGGAAGCATTATGTGAGGCTCCAGGAACAGCCATAGTCCTGGAGACAAGGAGCAGAAGGGTGGTTCCAGGGCCTGGCAGGAGGGAGAGGGTAGACTCATTGTTTTATGAACTCAGAGCGCCTGGGCTGACGATCAAGTTTTGAGGTGGACAGCGTTGACGGCCGTGCAGTAACACAAATGTACTTAACACCGGTGAACCACACACTCAGGAGCAGTTAAAATGGTGATTTTATGCTGTGTATATTTTTGTGATATCAAAAGAGACTATAAATAATTGAAGGATAATAATTAGAAGTTCGTACAATAGAGAGAAGTCGTGACTTTGAGAAAGTCACGGAATACTCTGTGAAAGTGTAAGAAAATTTATTTGAGAATGTATTTATTCTCCTGAAGAACATTCATATGAAGGAACAAGGTCTAAGTCACACACAGTGCCTCTAAGAGTAGAGATGAGAAGTCAAGTTGGCATCCACTGCACGTGAGGCTGTGGGCAAGGAAAGGTAATTAGGACAAGCGGTTCCGGCACGTGGCGAGTTTGTGACCCCCTTATTCTAACAGATGGACTCAGGAAAGTCAACAAAGGGTTTGGTGACCAGCCTTAGGGGCCAATCCCCACAGGCAGGAGTGATC